CCCTCACCGATTTGTCCCCTCCATACGGCCTAAAATGTGTTTTTTTTTTGTTATCCTATAGAAAATGCCCAAGAAACGTTTGACCGCAGCATTATTCTAACGTTTTTTAATGCCAGAAGTACTTTTACTCATAAATTCCAAAAAAAAAAGAAAAAAATCTACACCATTCCATCTATAAACTTGATAAAACTGGTACTGAATTTTGTGACTTCTGTGATGAAATAATGGCCTATGCCATTCGCCGAAATGTTTCATCCTGCTCCAATTCCATAAAAATTTTAGGATCCTGTCTCTTTCTTATTGGACGAATTCGATGACAATTACATGGATGCTGATGACAATTACATGGATGCTGATGACAATTTGGCGGAACAAGAATTGATCACCGATCCGCATTTGGTACGAAATTATTCCAGTCTTATTCTCGCTTGCAAAAGATTCTGGCACTCACTTTCTGCGATGTTCTTTGAATTACTCGATTTGATACGATTGTACAGCTTTGAATTCTTTCGAAGAATGTTCAATGTGCTCTAGAATGTTCTGTGCATGTCTGTTATTGGCACATATGGGAGAGACGGGAGAGGGGGAGGGATGGTGACCAAAGAATTGGAAATGTAGGCAAGGCCGGCTGAAGGGGGCATTGGTCGGGGTCGGCTGAGGCAATAGAGTGGAGATTCTCGAGGGGGATAGAAGAGGGTAGTTCCGTCGATGGCTTATTGCTGCTAGGATTGGGATTTATGCTAAAATTAGGTATATTGGATTTATCATCGCTTCATGTATCGTTTCGTAAAATTCGTCGTCCTGTCGTGTTGTGTTAAAAATACTTTGTTTTGTACTGTGTCGCACGTTTTGATCAAAATTTGCCCATTTGATCGACAAATCTCGGCAAACTATCTATACGTGATATCCTGTCGATCTCCTGAAGAAGATGTTTCGTGATTTCATCCCTTGAATTGTCGGCAGCTGGTTACGGCTACATCAGTTCGTACCACCCAAATTACCCAGACGATTTATGGGGCAGTGGCTGGCTTCTCGGCATGCTTGAAACGTTTGTATCTCGCCACATCTCGGCAAACTACCTAAAATGTGTGTCTGTATGTTTTTTTTTATTCGAATCTCTCTGTGAACTTGAGAACTGTACCACT